TTTTAGCTTGGGGGAATAAAATATAAATTTCCTGCATGCAAGACATGTATGTACTTTACCTCTGATCCACAACCCCTGCCCTCTTCTCTGAAAGTTTGCTGTTTTGTTTGATGGGGACGGGAGGTTATTTAGGCACTACCTGGATTTGTGCTCAGGAATCACTCTTGGCAGGGCTCAGGATATTATATGTGGTTCTGGGAATAGAAAACAGGTTGGGTATATGCAAGGCAAGCTTTACTCACTGTACTATCTCTCAGGTCCATGAAGTTCTGATTTGATAGGCTTGACGGGAAAGGTTTGACAGGAAAAGGAACACTAGCCATAAGTAAATTTGCAAAAATGACTCCCCAAGAAGACTCTAATGTGCAATCCAGATTAGGAACCACTACTGAGGAGTATAAAATCACTCTGACACACACCCAAAATAAAAAGACTCCTAGCCACCAAAGCCATCAGTAATCTTTTAGTCTGATCCTTTCCAGACTACATATGACACTAACAGCTTTACTATGCATGTTCCTCTCTTAATGTCTAGAACTTTGGAGGGGAGGTGAAGGGGTGTTCATGTAGCAGTGTTCACGGGACCATGTGGTACCAGAAATCAAATTCAGGGCTCCATACTACAAAATATGTGTTCCAGCTCTTTAATTCATCTCCCTAATCCAATACCTAGGACGTTTCAGTCTTCTTGTCTCTTATTCCTTCCTCCTTGCCAAGCTGTGTGAATGACATCTAAATTTGTGCCAGTGTGACCCAGAAGGCCTGCAGCATGAATCATTTGGAAACTTGTCTGAAATAAAAATTCTCAGGTCGTCCCCCTAGATGCCGAAAACTTTAGGGGTGGGACCCGGACGTCTGCACGTTCTTGTGATTATTCTGCATGATGATGTTTGAGCACTGCTGGGCTAAGCCACCTGTTGGAAATAGATGGTAGGAGTTTATAAGTATAGAATAGGAGCTCAGACAAGTTCCAGGAGTCTGGAGATGACAATGCATACCCATTTTAAAATTAATTGCTACTGGGCTGGAGCATTATGTTTCTAAGGCACTTGCTTTGCATGCAGTCAACCTGGGCTCAATTTCTAGCCATAAGTAACCTTTAGAAGTAACCAGAATAGCTGGACCACATATGGCCCCCAAGCACCACCAGGGGTCACTCTTAAGCACAGAGTCAGGAATAGTTCTGTCTGTTGGGCGTGACCCCAAAACCCAAATCAAAAAAATAAAAGTTAACTACTGCTGAAATTGTTTCTCACAAGAGAAGGCAACTATTAAAAAAGAGTAACTATCAGGGCCAGAGAGATAGTCCAGCAAGGATCATATCTGCCTTCCACGCGGTTGACCCTGGCTCAATCCATGGCATTCCATATGGTCCCCCCAAGCACAGCCAGGGGTTAATTCCTGAGTGCAGAGCCAGGAGTCGCCTCTGAGCATTGTCGGGTGTGACCCCCTCCCAAAAAAAAAACCAAAATAAAATAAATTTTAAAAAGAGTAGCTATCATGTTTAGGTCAATTAGTATGTGCTAGATATTTTAAGCCTTTAAATATGCCTCGTTTCTGTTATCAGGTATTCTCATTATTACAGGTTTCGTACAAAAAGCCTTGAAAATCTTGTATCCAAATCCCTTGTCCTTGACCATAATACTGTCTCTAGAAAAGCATACAGAAATCTTAGGGAGGGGGCAGGGATGTGGCTCAAGTGGTCAGCACCCGACTTACATGTAAGACTTTGGATTCAAAACCTGGCAAGCAGGGGGCATGGCTGGGAGAAGAACCCCAGAGGCCCCCAAGCACTGTTTAGAATAACCACACCACAAAGAAAAGTCATGGACAGAACCATAAGAAGACAACTCAGTGGAAAGAACTGAGGCTGACTTGTCAAAGAATGAGAAAAAAGTATCATTGGGGAAACATCTAGGCGATGATAGTTTTGAGAAGGAAGCTATATATAATGGACAGTGGTTTGGAAACTTTTCAACAAGTCAAAGGATATAGAACTTCTTTTAAAATTTGCTTTATAAACTTTATATAATCTATTCACCCTGAGATCCATGTTTTATTCATAAATACCAGGCACTAACTTGAAGTGTTGTTTTTTTTTATTGGCCACACCCAGAGATACTCAGGGCCTGTTTCTGGCTCTGTGCACAAGAGTGACCCCTGGCTGTGCTCAAGGGACCGTATGTAGTACAAGGATCAAACCGGAGTCAGTCACATGCAAGGCAAGCAAGCACCTTACCCTCTGCATTATCTTTCCAGCCACTAAATTTAAGATAGAGAGGAGATAAATGATCTCTACTTATGAGAGGGAAGACAAGTTACTAATAGCTTCGCCAACACAGACACCTGGATTTATCCAATCCTGATTCTTTTTCCTCTGAAGAATCAATTCTGTACATTTTAAATTGATCATTGCTCCTTATGTGCTCTCCAAAGGTTAAATGCATTCAAAACATGAAAGCCAGATGTGGGGATAACGAGCTTGAGATTGGTAAGGAGTAAGAGGAATGACTCTATGAGTCACACGTGATTAGAAGGCCAGTGATGCTGGAGGAGATAAGAGAGATGCAGATGGGCTGGCAGAAATAGTCAGTCAGGTGGAGCCTATTGAGGGCACCATTACTTGAATAGACATCAGCAAATGTTCAAAACCTTAAGATTAAGATTTAGGAGTATAACAGAGCTGATTAGGTCAGTTTCTTGCCTTTTCTTCTTTTTAAAGAGAAATAAAATTATTTAAAGAAATATGAGAGAAAGAGACAGAGGAGTTCCAGAGAACATGGGCTTCTCCAGTGGAGAAAAAGCCAAGAATACACATGTCAGGTCCAGATGTGGGCAAATCTCCAGGGTGAAGAATGTGCCTAGGTGAGTTTCTTGAGCTACATGAGCCTTCTCAGGATATAATCTGACCAGCTTGATTACTTGAAAATTATCAAATTCCAGCAGCTTCTTATTTATGCCTTTTTACAAATGAATCATCTTTTGTTTCTTGTTGACTTTTCACTAGTTTCAGTATCAGAAATTGACCCTTTTCAAATTTGGGCTTTCCCGACCTCTGTTTGCCTCTATCTACAAAGAGGTAGCTATTTGCACCACTTTTGAAGAATAAACTACAGACTACATGGGGCCATATTTCCATACTTGTTTCTCATTCATCTTCCAAATAATGTTGCCCAACATTTTTAATTTCTTCTATTATCATATGAACTTTATGCAATATGAATTCTCGAACATTATTTATTAACATCTTGCTAAGTTCATTAAGTGGGCACTTACTACATAATCTGCAGTCCTAGGTAAAGGGGTAGCAGAGAAGGCTGAGGTCCTAGCAGTAAAACAGAAATAATGCCAATGATATCAGCTTAACAGAAAATGGGGTGATTCATTCTACAGGAGTTTGAAAACTTTTTCAAGCATGAATATCGTCAAGTCTGGAAGGATGAATAGCAGTTTATTAGGCACTGGAAAAGGAAAAAGGCATCTCAGACACCTCCTCCCTCCCCAAATTTGGTAATGTTAGTGGCATTTAAGTTAAAATAATAGGAAAAAGAAGTAAAATAACAACACAAGAAATTCAATTACGGGGGGAGAGGGTGGCAGGGAAATTGTGCCTTTCAACCCACTTCAGATCTAAAAGTAAATGTTTGTAAAACAGAATTCACAATCAAGGGAAAAGGGGTGTATGAGGAGGAAGTTGTTTTTTTGTATTAAGTTAAACAAGTGAGTAAAAATATCAACGTCTATGCTTGGGAACACAAATATTGCTTTTGATAAAGATTCGCCGTTTGAAAATGAAAGCTTATGGAGCTTGATTCAACCCATTCATCCATTTGTCCCACTGCTTTATACTACCACTATCATTCTTCAAAGTGAGCCTAATCTCCACACCCGCAACCAATAATCCACTCTGGATGGAAACAATCAACAGGACCCTAATCAACTTTTCATTTACATGGCTTTGCACATCGCCCATCCTTCAAAGTCGGCCTTCATTTGCCCTATGTCAATCACACGGCGTTAATTTAGCTCTCTAAGTTTGGACACTTTGCCTCTTCACCCGTGCGTCCAATTAGTTCCTCTGAAATTCCATTAGTTTCGCTTTTCTCCTGAAGGGACACTTAGAAAAAAATCCATCAATAGCACAATTACAAAACCGAGAGCTGAAGCCAGAGTCTGAACACACATACTAATTTCCAGTCATATCCCTCTGGAGGCTGTTCTTACCACTGATCAAAATCAGCGGACCAGGAAGAAGGAAAAAGCTGAGGCAGGAAGGTTGTTCCCTTCCTCCCACTCCCCCCAAGCGGGCCATCCCGGCTCCCCTCCCCCACGCCACGGCCACCCCCCCCGCCCCCCCCCCACACACACACTGACCCGCCCCCACTATCACCAGCCACTGCCCACAAAACAGTCATTGCCTTTGTTAAAACGTCCATGAGCACAATGGACCAGAAGACAGATACATTCCCGGGGGCGGGAGGAGGAAAGTCACAAGAACGCAAAGCTCCCCGAGGCACCAGCCGGGAGCCGCAAGCCCACCGCCCCGAAATCCTCAGCCCTCACGAGGAGGTCCCTTCCCGGCCAACTCTGCCCAGAGATGGCAGCTCCGGGGCGGGAGGAGGGAGGGATGGGCCGCTCGGGGGCACCTCGTGGGGGCGACTGAACTTGAAGCTGGGACACCCTCCAGCACCGTTGGCGAGCTTCCCGGTCCTGCCAAGCCTGAGTGCCGACTTCCAGCCTCGGGAGCTCTTTCCTTCAATTTCTCGGCTGCCATCGCACCTCCTCCACTCCCGCCACCGCGCAGTCCGCTCCCCACGCGACCGGGGCCAGAAGCCCTCGGGCAGTGCCACGGAACCCGCTAACCGCACCTCTGGTCCGTTTCTCCGCACGGGAACCGAAAGGCTGCCCGACAGTTAGTCTGACACACCCCGATCCCTCCCGGGGTGTTCGGCCCGAACCACGTTCACCAGCTCACTGTCCCGTGCGGCCAAGTCACTCACCGCCCGCCGAGCCGTTACTCCGCACTCCGAGAGCCTTAAGCCGCGCCTGCGCGCTCCCGACGGCAGCCCAGCCGAGCCTCTGCCGGGAGCCGGGAGCGGCAGGGAGAGACTGTGGGAAGCGGCGGGGGCCGGCCAGGGCGGGGTTTAGAGGGAAGGGGTGGGGCCAGGCGGAGTGGGAGACTGAGGGGCCGGGCCTTAGGCACAGTGGTCCGGAAGACTTAGCTCTCTAGACGCCCAACTGCTGCTCTTAACACCCTCGAAGAAGTGAAGAAGTCGTGGAAACCTCGATATACACCCCTAGTCGTGCTCGAGAAAGCCTAGCAGGGTTTAGGGGGCCCTCATCCCAATCCCTGAAGCCACACGATCTACGCCAACCTTGCACACTTCTAGCCTGCCTATCCCACGTTATTCACCCTTCACCCCTCTCCCAACCCCGTCCCCTCTGCTCCAGCATTTCTCCCATCGCTCAGCCCTGGGCCCTCCAGAGGTGAGGGAGATGGAGATGACTCACACTGGGCAGCCTAATTAACATGGCTCTGCTGTTTGCGAAGCCTGGTCATAGTTAGTGACTTACCCAACCCCGTCCCACTGCTCTTCATTGAAAACAAACTCTCTGCTGTTTCTGAACCTGGGGTGACAGCGATCTATTTTTCTTAAAGCAGTCTACTATTTTCTTTAAAAAGACTTGAACAAACCTACCAGATATTTTTTTGGTAAGAAAAAGAGTTGTCAAATCTGACCCACCGTCTAAATGCTCCTGGAGGTCTGGGGATAGCTCAGTAGAGCTGGAGGGCATGCTTGGCATTCAGACAGCCTGCCTTGGACCCCAAATACCACAAGGACCCCCGAGCTCTCAGAGGAGCAACAGAAGCATAGAGCAGGAGTAGTAATCCCACAGCATTGCTGGATGTGTCCTCCACCCTCGCCTCCCCCCAAAGGACAAAGCTCCTCTGAGAAACAATATTTGGCCTGTGTGACCTGGATTTTGCACTAATGGCTTCAGGTTTTCTGATATTTTTGCATTTTAAGAAGCCCAACTCGATTGCTATTCCATGCTGCATGCATGCTTAGTTTTTACTTCTAGGTTTTTCTGTTTAGAATCTGGTCAGCTGTGGTATCTCACGTGCCTTCACATCAGCTATTAAAGTAAAATACACCTGAGTGAATCCAAAGTGAATTAATCTGTGAGTTTGAAGTGATTTATCCCAAGCAACTTTTCATTTCTTCTTTTTTACTTATGAAGAAATTGGGAGGCGTTTGGCTTGTTCAGAATCAAAGAACTACCATGGGGCCACACTGGTAGTCTCTACTGGCAGTTATTTTGACAGCAACAGGGGCGCTGAGTGGTGTGGGGAAGCGAGTAGTCCCCTTTGCCTTTAGAGATCAGAATGTTCTAAAACTCTTCCCATTGAAATCTTTAAGTTCTTCCATTTGTGAATTTTATAAATCAGATGTTCTTGAATTCATTTTTCAATTTCACATTTGTCACATAATACAAAAGATCATGGGGGTTTGTGGTAAGGACATACCGCAAAAGGGGTGTACATCGGCACTTGTAAGACCCTAAAGAGTGTAAATATGAAGTGCCTGGAAGCAAGAATGTGTCTTATATAAATATCACTGGCAAAAATATATAACATACAGAAGAATGAAAATAAAAGTCGTACCCTGGCCTAGAGCTTGGAGTGACCCCCTAGCATAGAACCAGGAGTAGTTCCTGAGCACTGCAAAGTATGGTCCAACCTCCCTCTCCCTAACCCCCAAACACACCTACTTGATTAATGAAGGTACATCTTTAAAAGATCTGTATATATGTTTCTGTTTTTTTGTTTTTGTTTCGGGGCCACACTCAGCATTGCTCAGGGCTTACTCCAGGTTCTGCACTCAGGGTTCACTCTTGGTGGGACAATATAGGGTGCTGGGGATCAAACCAGGGTCAGTTGTATGCAAGGCTAATGAGGTACCTGAGTGTTATTGCTCTGGTGAACTTTATATATGTTTTGAACTTATATTTAACTACTGGGTTTTTCTTTCTCATTATTTATTATTTGGTTTAGGGTCCACACCCAGTGGTGCTCAGGGCTTACTCCTCACTCTGTACTCAGGTATCACTCCTGGCAGGTTTTGGGGGAATCTTCTGTAATGCCAAGGATAGAACTCAGCTCAGCTGCATGTAAGACAAATGCCCTACCTGCTGTACTAATGCTCTAGCCCAGGGTTTTTTATATTTTATCTACTAGTTTGAATATTTCCACTGGGGCGACAAAAACTAAAATGAGATAGCTTAAGCAAAAGGATAAAGTTATTGTGTAACCCAATAAGTTTTGAAAGGGTTAGACTAGCTTTCAGAGTAAGTGCTACAGCAACTAAAATGCCTCAAATTCCAGGACTGGCTCAGAACTTCTGGAATCATGTTCTATAGACTCTAATGATGGCATGTGGTTAATAGTGGATTCACACCTTCCAAGCTGTTACAAGACACATGGTACTGCTCTTCTCTAAGTTCTAATTCTCTAAATACCATAGGAAGAACATGACTGAATAAGACTGAATAACATAACCATTATTGGAGAGAAAGGAGACATGTGTGATATAAAAATTGGTACCTCCCCACCCCACCCCACCCCCGAAGAACCACATAGTTGTAGGGAAAACTAAGAAGGAATTTCCAAATAAAAACAAAGGGTAGGAGGGGAGAAATTCTGGTTTTCAGAAGAGATGTCTAAAGCAGACCTCAAAAAGGCAAGGGGAGTGGAACTATGAAATAACTACACTTAACAAGCATTTTTCAAAACTTTGATCCCTCTTCCTTCTCTCTTATTGAAGTATTAACCAGTCTTCTGAAAAATATTCACTGGTTTCTGTAAAATATTTCACAAATTTAGTGTCTTAAAACAGCACAAATGTATCATAGCTCTGGAATTCACAAGTCTAGAAGAGTTAAGCAAAAATCATGGTGTCTGCATAGTTTCTTTTATAAAAGTTTAGATGAGAATACTTTTTCTGGACTTTCCACATTCAAGAGACTCCATACATCTTTAAAATCTACAGTGACATTATTCTGACACTTCCACCCATTTCTACTACATGTAAAGGCCCCTGTAATGATCCTGGGCCATTTTCTCAGCTGGCAACCTCCATATCTCCTGAACCTCTCCTTGTTATTATAAACCCCACTTCCCCAACAAAGTGAGGTTAACTTGTCAGCTGAAATCTATGTTGGAGCCTTTTTCCATCATAAGTGGATTTCCCTCCCTCTTAGCTGAGTCTAGGCACACTCCATGCCTGACTCCCTCTGCCATTTTCTCAGCCAGCCACCTCCACATCTCCTGAACAGCATGGTCTGATAATGTGGCTGTACAACAGTTACAGGGGCCTAACTACAAAAATTCATTCTCAGTAGAACAGAAGCACAGAAAACACATGGGGAAGACACGTAGGCTCCCATCGAGCCCAATGAGTGAAAATAATAACATGGAAGGCTCTACCAGTTACCAGCCAGCTCTGTAAACTCTCAGAGAATGATTTTAATGACACTATGTTGAGGATGTTTAATGAGCTCAAAGAAATGTTGGCACAGGTAGTCAGCAAAGCACAAGAAGATTTGGGAGCGGAAATGAGAATACAACATTCAGAAGTTTAAGAAATGAAAAATGTTTGGTCAAATAAAAATCTCAATATAGGGGGCTGGAGCGATAGTACAGTGGATAGGGCATTTGCCTTGCATGCGGCCAACCCGGGTTTGATTCTCTGCATCCCATATGGTCCCCCGAGAACAGCCAAGAGTAATTCCTGCATGCAAAGCCAGGAGTAACCCCTGTGCATCGCCAGGTGTAACCCAAAAAGCAAAAAAAAAAAATCTCAATACAGGGTCTGAGTAGCAGAATAACAGAAGCTGAGTTAAAGATAAGGAGCTCCAAAATGAGATGCAAGAAACCTCTAGAAAATAACAGAAGATGGAAACGTCTGAAAATAAATGAAGAGCACACTAGGAACTATGGCATGAAGTCAAGAGGAACTATATAAGATTCATAGGAGTTCCTGAAGACCAGGAAAGCAAATTCAATGAAGAATCAAAAGTTAAATGAATGCTAAGAATTTCCCAGAGTTGAGGAGTAAAGGTACCGAGATCCAGAAGGCCAGAATTGTCCCAGCAAAAGTAGACCCAAATACAAAAGCTCCAAGGCACACAATAATCCAAATTACAAAAACCAAAGACAGAGACAGGATATTGAAAATATCAGTATCAAAAATAAATTTGTATACAAACGACAGCCCATATGATTTACCCAAGATCTATCAAAAGAGACTCAATGAGCCAGAAAATAATTGTGGAATATAGTAAAACAACAAACTAAATGAAATTACACCTCACCAAGAATACACTATTCATTGAGATTTTCATTCTGATTTGAAGGAAGTATACAGACTTTCATGAACAAGCAACAATTTAGGGAATTCATAACCCAGAAACCAGTTTTGCAAGACGTATTAAAGGAGTTAACTTCAAAAGACAAGACAAACTTCTCAGCATTCTGCCATTGAGTATGGCATTCACTTAAAACTTTTATGATTGCCCTTTACAAGGTTAAGAAATGTATGTTTATTCCTAACCTGCTAAGGAATTTTATACTTTTCCAATAAGAAATTAATGTTTCATTTATACTAAATGCTCTATGTCCATTCATGTGATTTCTTTTCACATCTATAGAGATTTTTATTACAATCTTTTACTTATTAATGCAGATACTTAAGCATTATCTATAATACAATATTTTCTAACATAAAACCCATGTTCCTTTTTAGAATAAAACATACTTTTAAACTTTTACAGGCCTATTCAGATTTTCCTGTAAAATTTTCTTAATTTTCCTCTCCTCATTTTTACTAACTTGTGTGTTTGTAGGATTTATCTATTTCATGTTGATTTTTAAATGTATCAACATATACTATTTATATTACTAGCCTTTTAAATTTATATACCTATAACATAGAAATGTGTAATTATTGAGCAAATGTTTTCAACTTATTGATTAAAGTTTTTTTTGGGGGGGGCTGGAGCT